GGATTACAGGCTGAGCCACCGAGTCCGGCTTCCTTTCTTTTTTTGTATTTTATCCAGAGTATATACGAGTGGGGATCCAGAAAAACCAGAATTATCTTCTGGAGGGTGGGTCCCTTCTAGTACAGCTGGAATTTATTCCTCCAGATCAACAGTCAACCAAAGTTTTCATCTGGAAGTTTTGAGAAGGTTGCGTCACGATTCGCAGAAGAAACTTCTTGAGCTGTGGCAAACAGGTGGCTGGGTCATCCACCATGACAATACACCTGTCCACACCGTGATGAGTGTTCAGCAGTTTTGGACCAAAAAAACGGCATGACCCCCATGCCCTACTCTCCCCATTCACCCACTCTCGCCTGCAACTGACTTTTTGTATCCTCCGGATGAAAAAAAAGTCCTCAAAGGGAAATGTTTTGCTGATGTGGAAGAGGTAAAAACAAAACAAAACAAAAATGGCAGAAACACTAAAAGGCATCAAAATTGATGAGGTCAAAACTGTTTTAAGCAGTGGAAAAAAACGTCTCAACGGGTGTATTGCATCAGAGTACTTTAAAGATGACTGAAGTTTAAATACGTAAGAATAGTTTTTTATAGTTCGTTTTTTGGGTTCCCCTTGTGTAGAGCTGTAAGCAGCAGGAGGAAGGGTTGTAGGAGGCTTACATCATGGTTATGGAACCAGGATCTCCAAGTACACTTTTATAAAGGTCTCATGAATATTCTTCCTTACACATAAACTACTTTGAAAGGATACATAAGAAGTGGCTAAGTGTGGATATCCACAGGGAAGAAAACTCAAGACCAAGAGGAAAAAACTTACTTTAAAGACCTTTCGGACCATCAGTATAAATATATATTTTTTTAAAGGCATTAATAACTACCCAAAGCTGTCCATTTAGGATGAATTAAGCAATAGGCAGCTTAAAAGACAGATGAAGCAAACTGCAAAGGCTTTCCCTCAAATGCCTAAGGAAGTCATCTCATCACCAGCACAGGGAAGACATTGGTATCTAATACTGATTTCTAAGCAAAGGTGTCTTCACATAGTTGCTAGGACAGCTTCCAAGCCCATCTCCATCTTTCATATAAGCATTTTCTCCTGTGTAATATGGCAGCTTCATATGTGTCCTCAAGGGTATGAACATGGCTCCTTCTAACAGAGGAGAGCTGGGACAGAGCTGAGGAAATTAGACTCCCTGTTCTAGTGGCTGCAGTTCCTGCCGGCATACTGAAGAATGCCACTTGTAGTAATGAGATTAAATTATGTAATGACTTTTTTGGTAATTGCATAGTTGAAAGTCTGTTATATAAGAAACCCTTACCAGGCCAGGCTCAGTGGCTCAGCCTGCAATCCCAGCACTTTAGGAGGCTGAAGCAAGTGGATTGCTTGAGCCCGCGGGTTCAAGACCAGCCCAGGCAATTTGGTGAAACCTTGTCTCTAAATAAATTAGCTGGGTGTGGTAGTGTGCACTTGTGTTTCCAGCTACTTGGATGGCTGAGACGGAAGGATCACCTGAGCCCAGCAGGTCGAGGCTGTGGTGACTGTAAGTGTGCCACTGCACTCCAGCCTGGGCAAAAAAGTCAGACTCTGACTCAAAAACAAACAAACAAACAAACAAAACAGAGTTAAAATATACTAAAATGACTTTTACCTTTTTGATTTTTAATGTGGCTACAAAAATATTTAAAATTACATAGTTAAACACGTGGCTCACAATACATAATTTTTGACACTCTTAGAAACACTAATGACCAGCTAGGCTTGGTGGCTCAGTCTATAATCCCAGCCGAGGCAAGTGACTTGTCTAAGCCTGCGGGTTCAAGACCAGCCTGGGTAACTTGACAAGACCTTGTCTCTACAATAAATCAAAAATTAGCTGGGCATGGTAGTGCATGTCTATACTTCTGGCTACTTGGAAGGCTGAGGTGGAAGGCTCACCAGAGCCTAGCAGGTCGACACTGGGGTGGCTGTGAGTATGCCACTGCACTCCGGCCAGGGTAACGGAGTGAGACTCCAACTCAAAAAAAAAAAAAGAAATACTAATGACCAATTGGACATTCACACATGCACACACACACAAGATACAGACCTCACACCCTTCACAAAAATTAACTCAAAAATAGATCATACATCTAAAATGCAAAACTTTAAGACTCCCTAAGGATAACACAGACCAAGTACTGTGGCTCACGCCTGTAATCCCAACACTTTGGGAAGTCAAGGCGGGAAGGATTACTTGAGGCCAGGAGTTTGAGACTAGTTAAGCAGTATAGTAAGCCCCATCTCTATAAAAAATAATTAGGTGGGCATGATGGCATATGCCTATAGAACTTGCTACTCAGGCAGCCGAGGCAGGAGGATTGTTTGAGCCCAGGAGTTCAAGGCTACAGTGAGCTATAGTTGTACCACTACACTCCAGCCTGAGCAAGAGACCCTGTCTCTTAAAAAAAAAGATAAAAAAAAATCAGCCAGGTGTGGTAGTGCATGCCTTTATTTCTAGCTACATGGGAGGCTGAGGTAAGAGGATCCCTTGAGGAAAAAATAAAAATAAAGTCTATTTTAAAAATGACAACTCAGTGTTCAAGCATTTTATTAATTCAGATAAGGAATCTCCACATTGTTGCACATACTGGCTTGTATACAATCCTAAGGGCATATGTCACTTGTTACAAAGATATAGCTAAGCAGGTTGACAAGTCTAAAATTTCAAGAACATTTCAAGAGCAAACACAGTAAAGGTCATGCAAGTTCTAGAATAGCAAATCATGACAGAGCTCACTTGTTTTAACCTTTACCTTCAACCAGAAAAAATCTGAAGCATAGCAGCTTCTTGCTAGTCTGATACATATTTCAGGAATATTTACCCTCGTACCACTTACTGGTTTATTTGATTGGAAATAACTCAACCCTAACTGTAGAAAAGGGTTTTTCTGGAAAGGATTTACTGCTATGAAATGTATGCCCTTTATTTGTGTTATGCCTTGAAGTCACCGATCTTTCATTAATGTATGTATGCATGATACCCAAACCAGGAATCCCAGCTATTACTTTTTCACTTAGCTACACTAAATTTGGATCCAAGATAAAATACTATGTAGGTTAGATACTGAATAATGGAACAATTCAGTGAGGCTGTACTACTCTAGGTCTACTATAACTTAGCTAAATGACACTAAGTTTAAGAGCCTTAATACACCCTACGGACCTTTTCCTAGGAGGCAGTTTTGAACTGCCCTGTGACAAACAGTTGATTATCAGATTTATAATAATGGGTGACTAGAAAATAAAATCTGTACTCATGTAGCCTCAAGCTTACTTGTTCATATCTACATTAATGTATAGCCATATACTAATGGGTAGGTAGACATGATCAAAGATATTTTTGCATACTTCACCTCCCTGCACCCTTCACCTCCCCACCCCCGCAAAGCTCCTATACAAGTCTCCCCTGTTTTAAGCCAGAAGGTAATTCTGGATTAAAATTTGCCTGAACTAAGTTTATAGGAGGTAACATGCAAATAAGGGGATAAAGTTAAATTCATTTGTCAACAGCAAACATTATAAATGTATGCTACTATCCCACTAAACAGAAGACCTGGAGAAACCACAAAGATAATAAAACACCCATGCTGAGTTAAAAAAAAAAAAAATCCTGAAGGAAGTAATTTTATTTTACAGTGGTTGAATTTACCCACCAAATGCTTAATGACCATAAAATGTTTTTGTAACTAAACTAAAATACAGAGAATTATAGGGAGTTGGAAATACATGTTAGATACTAACGATCTTCAAGCTTTGAAGATGTCATTGCATGAAGAAAATTATGGGAAACACTGTTCCCGATAATTACGTACACCCTTAGTGTAACATATGGAGATCACTGTCTCCGATATAGACACTGTGGTAGGCAAAAACTACCTTGTTCTTTATACATTATGGAAGACACTGCTCCCGATAATGTGTTAGGTTTGTGACAAAGGTACTGGAAATTTTGCAAAGTTGGAATCAGAATTATACCCTGGATAAATTCAGCTGTAAAATTTTGTATTATGAGTACTACCACAGCCTTTAAGTGACTTTTATTTATAACCTGGTCACAATTCATTGAATTTAGGAGAACTAACATTTTTATCTGGTCAGCTAAATAGAAGTCTAACTTGATTAGCAACCCTTAATTAAATTTATTCTTCTCCAAAACTTAGCTTATAATTTTATTTAGCTGGTGGCTGTTTTCTAAAACCCTCAAGTGTTGACCATAAATGCAAAAATTCCAGTATCTGTTGGGTTTTATTAGCAGATGCTGCTTTTATTCAAAAGAAACGACAGTATAACTGTCATAATTATGGAAGGCACTGCTTCCGATAATTATATTCTATAAAAAAAACACCATTTATAGTGAACGCTGTCACTGATAAATAAACAATAAATATCTCAGTGCCAAAATGATAGAAAGCTTTCCCAAAAGATTAACACTTTGGCCAAAATTTGGCAGTGTGTTCTCTAAAGTCTGACAAACTGAGTCTGTAATTAAACACCTGAAACTGGTTCTCTTTCAAAATACTTTGGAAAAACAAAAACAACAAAGAACTAAACAAAGGCTTATGGGGTAGGGGACAGAGGGAAAGAAAAGATTCTAAGTCTTTGGCTTCTGGTCTCCTCTCTTCATAAATAACATTGAGGTTAACACATTAAGGCCTTACTCCTGCAATAAACAGTTGAACCTCATTGTATATAGCTGAAAGACCTCTAATTCAGACCCATCTCTTCTGAAAGTTAACTGTTTCATTCAGGAATGTGGAAACCAGCTGAGTCCTCATGAAAAGGCATATATCTCATTTGGAGAAAGGTCTTACAACCTGGTATCTCCTATCTAGCATCAAATAAAGGTGGAGGATCACACTAAGCTACCACTTTCAAACCTTCAACAGGTACCAACCTCTTTCTCCCACCTCCAAAGATACTAGCTCATGCCCTTAGGATTTAGAGCAATAGCTCATGTAACTGGTTCTGACATTTTCAAAATTATAACAGGAAAGAGGCAGTTACCATTACAAAGCACTTACAATTCTAGAAATAATCAGAGAAAATACTCCATCATGAACATTTTTAAAGTGGTTCTTCACTTTAACTCGAAGTGCAGGTACCTACCCTGTATTAAAAGCTGCTGCCTAAAAGGACATCTAGTAGTACCAAGATGATTGGATAGAATTTTAACAACATTAGGGTTTGTAGCCCTACTGAAAATTTAGCACAACCAGCACAAGTCTAAAAACCAGACTACCCTGCTTTTCTTACATAAGTTGTGAGTATCACATTTAAAACTCATTGTCAATGTCCCAGATGTCACCAGAGAGGGCATTTGCAGCTCCCTGAAGAGTCCAAGTAGCTAGAGCCAACTGGTTTCTCAACAGTGTTTCATTAAAAGCACCGTTATTTTCCTGACGCAGCTTCAAGTTCTCTACTAAAGCTGACAGAGTGTGAGAGCCAAAGCCCCAGAAGATATGTCGGAAAGGAGACTCTCTTGGAGACACATAGGGTGAGAGAAAGTAATATTCCACCTATGGGAGAAAAAAAATCCAACATAGTTAAACAACTGTTGTTTTCATTTCAAATGTTAACATGTTCTCGAATTTACCAATAATGAGAACTAATCTTCTAAGGTTAAAGCTCTAAAGCAAATTGTCAATCCCACTGTAAAAGTAAACTTAAATTGTATTCAGATTTTTTAATTGGTTGGAGTACATAAATGGATGGCTTGCAACAAGTCTATTTCCTCTAACCAAATGAATAAAATAGTTAAGGTTTGGCCAGGCACAGTGGCTCACACCTACAATCCCAGCACTTTGGGAGGCAGAAGCAAGAGGACTGCCTGAGTTCAGAGGTTCGAGACTAGCCTGGACAATTTGGTGAGGCCTAGTCTGTACAATAAATAAAAAAATTAGCCAGGCATAGTAGTACACACCTGTGGGTCCAGCTACTTGGAAGGCTGAGGCAGAAGGGTCGCCTGAGCCCAGCAGGTCACGGCTGTGGTGGCCGCGAGCGTGTCACTGCCTGGATGATGGAGTGAGACTCCGATTTAAAAAAAAAAATCTGTGCTCAATTCCTAAAGCAGCAAAGAAGTCTAGGCTCCAAGAGTTACTCCACTTTGTAGAAATGCAAGATTTACCAATTCAAACTTCAACATACTTCCCCTTTCTAAGAGTTTACTTACTCTCATGATACGATCATTGATTTCTCTCATGACAAATCTGTTTGTTCTCTCAGCATTCTTGAAATCTGTTGTTAGTTTGGAAGTAGCACGAAAAAAGTCTCCACGAGCAGAATACAGCCACTGTAGACTCAGGCCCATCTCCTGAAATAGAAAGATATTAAATTCACTATTAGAAGTTGTATTTCCAAGGATGTTATTTTACATACCTTTCTAATTCAGGTGTAACCACTGAGAAGATTCTGCTATAAGGAAATGACTCACAGATAAGCTCAAGACTCAAAAGGCTAGACTTAAGCACCTGTACATGAGCTCAGCGATAGTACAATCATCTATTCTTAGCCTCATGAGAAAGCTACTTTCAAGAAATGAACATCATTTACTTATTAAGAAAGAAGATAGCCCTATGGACTATATTTTTTCCAGTTTAATTCCTTATGCGGGAAAACCTCCAACATTCTGCTTCAATGTACTTCAGAATCTAGATATTTCCATCTGGTAAATAACTGTTTCATTTTCTGAACAATTACAATTAGTTTCAATAAAGATATAATAATTAAGATTCAGTTACCAGAGATTTGCTTCAATTAAGAGACCTGTTAAATCAACCCTGAATACCATAAAACTAGCTAAAAACCACTTGATAATATTTGTTTTATTTATCTATTCACTCATTTATTTATTTAAACAAGGTTTTCACTATGTTGCTCAAGCTGGTTTTGCACTACTGAGCTCAAGTGACCCTCCCCAGCTTCAGCCTCCTGAGCGGCTAGGATTACAGACACACACCACCACACATCAGTTTAGTTCAAGTGAATGTCTGAATATAAGACACACAGTACCAGCACGAAATACAATTCTAACTACTGACTACACTCTCTTTCATTCCACATTGTATCCAAAAGTCATACAGCCAACTCACAGTTGAGATCTTTTTATCTGGTGTCCTATTTATGGGTTGTCTGGAATACATGAATGATAGAAAACTTAACACAGTGAATATTCCCAAATATTTGCTGTGGTCTATCCTAGGTCCATAACTCAGTGTCTGTTAATTTCTCTTTCAAATGAGTTACAGATTCTAAGCAAAATCTTAACCCTGGTTCACTTTAAAATTTACTTTGGATACCAATCATATCCTTCCCCCAGGAACAGCTAAACATCACACTACAAAATTCTTGATACTTCAGCATTAATAATATAATTTCAATTAGTGCTCACCTTTATGTCTGATCTGAATTGGTTCAGATCTCTCACAAATGCAAGTATTTTGTTGTTATACATCTCATAGTCCAGGTTCAATTCAACATCATGTGTAAGTTTAATAATGAATTGCCCAGCCACTTCTGCTGCTGCTCGTGCCACTTTGTTCAACTGAGGAATTTTCTTAATCAGTTCCTCATAAGTATCCATGGTAGTACCCAAATAAGGATAATTTGTGTCCTGGAAAACAAAGCCAGGGTACTTGTACTCATGAGGGTTATAAGAAGAGAAGCCTCATATTCGGGCTTCACAAATCAATAGTTACTGTAATTCTTCCCTTGTTTCCAACGCATTCCCACCCCAAATTTGTCTCATATTTGCTGTTTACAAAGATCACTCTTGCTATTTCCTCTAAATATAACCTACTACTAGAGAGACTACTTTCTTCCAGGTGTAGAACACTCTACCTTCATTAGACAACTTTAGCAACTAGTTCTTACTCTTCAACTCTATTCCCTATCATTGCACTTGGTGACAATCTCATTGACAATTCTTTGATTTACCTCAATTCATTTCTTCCAGACTCTGTATTTCACTGTACCTCTTAAGCAGCACTTGATAGGCTTTGACATCTCAAACTACATTTGAAGTTTTTAAGAAACATGATGTCTGAAGGTCAATAGAAATCATCTATTAAGTTCCTTCTATCACAGGACATGACACCCAGTTCCTCCTAATGTGCTAGACATCATGACCAGCTATTCCAAAACCATTCACATTGCTACTCTGGCAGAAGGTCAAGAGAATAACCTGCCATGTTCACCTCCAAATCCAGACATTTCATCACTTCTGCACTTCAAACTTTTCTCATCTTAGTTCTAGCTAAAATACCCAGTGATTAAAGAATCTAGCCTCTACTGGATCAACAATTTGATGCCAAAGTGTTCCCTGGCCCTCTATACTAACACTAGCATCTCTTCACCTTCACAAGACCCAACTATAGGGCCAGTTTTCCACTCTAGCACTTCAGCACAGAGGCCTTCTTCATTCGGTTTACTGTCTTCTGACTCTTCCTTGTACATGTCAATCTGGTTTCCCTACAACTTTATCAGTTCAAGTCCTGTCTCATGACCTTTCACCTTTTGTGCCTTTACCCATAATCTCTGAGCAAGAGGCTAAGATCTCTGGACAAACATTTAGAACCATATTTCAACAGGTATCTAGAACAGCACTGTTGGGCAGAACTTTGGTTGGTGAAAACATCTTTACCTGCACTGTCCAACAGGCAGCCAGTAGCTACTCAATCACTCAAATTAAGACTTATTAAAACTCATTTTACTGAAGATGTTTTAGCAATAAACGCAAATGCTAATTAATCTAATTGAGATAACAAGCCTATGTTAAGACTGATAAGGGAGCAATGAAATAATTATGTGTATAACTTCTTAAAACATTTTATGCACCTAAGAAACTTAGATTCAAAAGTTGATATAAGAGGATTTAAGATATATGAAAGCTGTCAAAATAAAAATGGAGTCACAAATGTTAAAAAAAAATAAAAAACCCTGACAAATAGTGCAGGGAAGACCCTGAAGAGAGGATTCTCTCACTTGTATGCCTGATAACAAAACCTATCACATAAGACTATAAAAACTGCAACCTTGTGCAAAGACCATGGCAACCTCACACAAAAAATAGTTCTGTAAAAATGTCTGCCCAGTAACTACCTGTCCAATTTCAGCCTGGTGTTACCCTTGTTAATGATTTGGTATTTAAGAAATATTATCTCAAAACAATTATGTAATCCTCTTCATTTTTCCTTTAAAAACCTTTTCTTTTTCTTTATCTCTCTGAATATGTACATAGGTTACTATGACATGCAAATTCCCATCACAATGTTCTATTCCCAAAGACATTTTCTTTTAGAGAGCCTCTCTTCCATTTGTTATTTAAGTTGACAGATAGTATGGCTTAGAATTTTTTAGACTTACCTCACAGAAACAGAAAGAGACTGCTGGGATTCCAGCATATGCAAGGAAAGGGAAGGCAGCATTATCAAAAGAGAGTTTCTCACTGCAAGGAAAGTGAGAATGTGAGTTTAGAATGTTTTCTGAACATCATGCAGCCCTGCCCCTACCCCCAATAAATTCTTAAATTGAATCTTTGTAGGTATAGGTAAGCTCACTGCAAAGTTAGGTCTATATCTCTACCTAGTATAGTAGCATGCTACTGAACAATTCTGGTTTTTTACCTTTTTTTTTTTTTTTTTAACTTTTGAGTCAGGGTCTCACTCTGTTACTCAGACTGGAGTGCAATGGCACGATCATGGTTTACCATAGCCTCAATCTCCGGGGCTCAGGCAATCCTTCTACCTCAACCTCCTTAGTAGATGAGTCTATAAACACATGCCACCATGCCCAGCTAATTTGTTGATTTTTTTTTTTTAAAGAGATGAGGTCTTGCTATGTTATTCAGACTGGTCTGGAACTCCTAGGCTAAAGCGATCCTCCACCTCAGCCTCCCAAAGGCATGAGCCACTGCACCTGGCCAATTCTCCTTTTCTCTTAGCGTGTTCATTCACTTTTCTCAACTTACACTTTGCTGATCCAGTTGCTGTCCTGATATAGAGACAGCCCAGTAACTGGATGTTTCACCTGTAAAAAAAAAAGTTAATTTATTATTAAAACTAACCATTCTGAACTTATTCAGGTTAGTCACTAACATGTTTCTCTACATTTATAATATTTTACTTCTTGAAAAAATGTTCAAGACAGTTAAAACAATCTCAACTTTATTAAGTCATTACTTCCTAGGCTCATGCTGTCAGTTCATTTAGTTTATGATGAGAAAAAAATGTATTTCTGCTTAATGAACATTTTAAAGGTAGCTTAATCACAATTTTAAAAGCCCTCTCATAACCTTTATTATATGACTATCTTGTTTCTGGTTTCTTCCTTCTAGTACATTTTATATCACCAGTCTAACTGGCAAACACATTACTGCCTTGCTTGAGATTCTATAATACAGGAAGTTTCCAACATGCAAACAAGTTCCATTCCAAGAGCACGTTTGTATGTCCAATTTGTTTTAAGTCCAATGAAGTTAGCCTAGGTAACTAACTAACATAATTGGCTATATACTACTGTATGCATTTAACGGCTATACTGACACCTGGTGGAGAAAAATAATATGTAAAAAAGCAGGTGTGCATTATTAAAGTTTGTAACTTAAAGGTTCGTACGTAGGGAACTTACTGTAAACCTACTATCTGATGGGACCAAGGTCAAGGTCTACTATCTGACATTTCTCTGCAACTTTAATCACTCCAATATATAGCCTCTAAACCCATTAGGCAAATATTTTCTTCCAAGTGTTCCTTTATTTAAAATCTGATCACTAATATATCTGTTTTTATCCAATGAATATTTTCATCTGGCCTTATTTAAGTCTTAGAATAGTGTAGTTCAAGTTCATTTAAACCTTTCTTAACATTCTGACTCTATAGACAATCCCTTGTGGGTAGCTACATTGCAGTTCAGGCCTCATGGTATTGTTATACATTCCTAAATGGACTACATACTTTTCCAGATTGGAGCCCTTACCTCACATGGCTCAAGATACTATGGATCAATAAGACAGGAGTATGGCTTAAATGCTGCTGCTACAGAATTTATTCTAAATTCCTATCATTGGTTACTGATAATAGTTTTACCTTATGCAAAGTTGATAAATTTATACATTTTGGTAATTAGGTATACACTTACCTCTTGCATTGTTTTCTCAATAAGCGTATATAACAGTGGGCTGGCAGAAACTTTGAAGTTGTTGGTGCCTGCAAAGACATAATTTTATCATTGCCCCTTTTCTAGACTAATATTTTTACACTGCTACTTCTCTCACAAAAGTACTTGACAAACAAGAAGACAGTAACCTAGATCAGTGGTCCTATACAAAAACTATCCTAACTAATAAAGTAGACAAAGTAATTCAGAGTCAAGTTCTTTAGCAACTGTCTAACTTGACTCAACTGAGGCTTACTCCTTGAGTTTGCATACTTTAAACCCAGTGACTTGCTTTAAGTCTTTTTTTTCAAAGAGCAGTTTTAGGTTCATGGAAAAATTGAGAGGAAGGAACAGATTTCCCATACATCCTCTGCCCCCGCACATACATAGCCTACTCCATCATTAACACTGTGATTTTTTTTTTTTCCCTTAACCTTTTTGGTTTACCCAGTATGGGGCAGCCATCTGCCAGCTCTAGCAAGCTTGCTATACTCAGTACATTCTGCTGCACAGGTACAACAGGGGGATTACTAAACTAATGAAGATTTAATTCTAACTCTTTCATCTTCCCAATGCAGACATTTAACTATTCTCAGTTCATCCATCAGCTACATTTGCATTTTAGATTCAAACTCTTGTAGAAGTCTGCTCATTATTTCTATCAGTGATGCCACAGAATATAAATTAGTCTCTAGAAGTACCATTCTAAATGGTATGGTTTAGTTCCTTCTAGTCTAAAATATAGCCCAGACTTGTGGTTTTAAAACTTGAGTGCATCAGAAGCAGCTGGAATGCTCATTAAAAGTTGTTTGGACTCATCTTCCAGTTACTAACTCAAAAGGTCTGGGGTGGACCCGAAATCTGCATTTGTAATAGTTCCCAGGTGATCCTGATGCTAATAATCTGGAAACCACATCGAGAACCAATATCCTTGACAAGGCAATCTATGCCTATTCTATAACCTGACTGAACATTTAAGAGAGTTAATGCAATCTTTTGATCTATGTTATGGCCAATGTAAATTGTAAAAGGACAGTAAGTGCTGTTTCTGAAAGTTTTCTTCCAGAATGGCATCACGAAGGCCAAGAAAGGTGGCATGGTCAGAGTGTCTGTTATTAGGGTTGAGTGCTGCAGAGCGGGAGTGAGATAAGCATGAGATTGGCTATCATGAGGCAGAAATCATTGCTGTGGAGGAACAGATCAAGAAACCAAGATGGCTCAGGCAGTTTTGGGGATTTTGCTGTGGAGGCAAAGAGTAAATAAGATGGTAGCTAGAAAGGAACCTGGGAACTAAGGAGAGGTGATGTATTTTTGTTTGTGTTTTGTAGATATGAGTCTAAGATAGGGTTTAAATTCGTTTTATTGTTGAGGGGGAAAAAGGGAAGGTTGGGAGAAGAGCAGAGTGGAATTTCACTGAAGGAGTAAATGTCAGAGGAGGAAGGCAGGGATGGGATCCAGAGCCTGGGAGAAAGAACTGGTCTTAACAGGCAGAGGCTGGACTTCTTTCTCCTCAGGTGGGTGATTATGTTATTTACTCCATTTCCCAGGGTTTTCTAAGGTGCACATGCCCAGGTCTCTTAACCGGAAAATGACAGTCCCACACGTTCCCAACCTTAATATCTCCATATTGATGACTGGGTCTGAACTGACCCTGGGATGATAAGGTCATTCAATTTCACAGCAGCTACTGTACTAGACTCTGGAAATATTAAAAAGGTGAAGACAATAGACAACCCCTTCCTCCAGGAGCTTACACTGTTGTGAGGCAGAGGCAAAACAAAAAAGAAAACAAATCCTGCATGTGCACAACGGTGTACCAGTGAGAGAGACAAAAAACCACACACACACACCAAAAAAAGAGAAAACTTCCTTCCATTGCTTTGTTTACCCGAATTGATAAACAGCTAATGAAAAGGATAGTTACCAAGAACAGCTTTGTCCAGATTAATGTAAGTAAAAGCCTTTAGATGCAAGGAGGAAAGGTATCCCTAGAAGAGAAGGAAAAATACTAATATAATTAATATGTTTTCATCTGTTTATCATATACAATAGCTATTATTAGGGATTCATTTTGAAATTTGAATTCTACTGAAACTAAATATACAAAATAAAAATCGTATAATCAAACCTAAAAGAGTTTGGTTTCTGGAGATCAGCTTAAGCTAATATAAGTTCAGATGCCTATTTTGGAAATGGATGGTACATAAATAATACCTCTAGCCACTCAGTGGCACCAATAGCTCCAAAGTCTCCAGCACTCCAGCTGGCAAAGATAATGCTTCTGCTGGGTTGAAATCCATCTGAAAGAGAACAAAAAATTAGCTTACCTTGGGAAAGGTCATAGGCAGGCAACTGACTTAAAATGGATCAAATGATCTAACTCAAGATAGCAGATTCAAAAATATTATTCTAAGACTCCAGATGAAAGAACAGTAAAAGAATAGGAATAAGTTTTTAAAGTAATCCACAAAGAACAAGAAAGGAGATCAACTGCAAATAAGATTCCAAGTACACAGGAGGAACCAGCTTATTGGTAGTGACCCTTCTACAATTCCATTCTTTGAGTCCTTTAACTTCTAGCCCAAGAGATATTTGAAAACACAGTGTAAGCATTATGTGTATGTCCTTTGAGAACAATTTACATGGAGGTAAGTCACTCAAAACACTGAATTCTTAAAAACAATTATAAAATAGAAATCCTATAACCCAATTCAAAAACATGATGTGGCTTTGCGTGTAGGTGGATGAGGAAGAATAGCAAGTACCATAAAAGAAAGGCTTGAAAATAAACATAACAAAATTACCACAGTGACTAGGCCTTAGCACATTAGTATACAAGGGGGAAACCCCCCAAAACGGTATTTATTTATAAAAAATTGTGTATTTATTCTTACATGTTTAAACTTCAGTCACCTTCAAAGTACTCTACATTTGATGCAACACATCTATGGAGTCGCTTTTTCCACTGCTCAAAACAGCTCTTGAGCACATTCATTTTGATGCCTTTAAAAGTGCTTCTGCCATTTTTGGTTTCACTTCCTCCACACAGGTAAACATTTCATTTTGAGGAATTTTTTCATCCAGGGAGATAAAAAAAAGTCACTCGGGATGATCAGATGGGGAGGATGGGGCACAGGGGTCATGCTGCTTTTGCTCAAAAACTGCTTAACACTCAGAACAGTGTGGACAGGTGCATTGTCATGGCGGAAGAACCAGTCACCTGTTTACCACAACTTGGGACGTTTCTTCCACAAATCAGGACACAACCTTCTCAAAACTTCCAGATAGAAAACTTTGGTTGACTGGTTGATCCAGAGGAGCAAATTCTGAGTGTACTACAAGGGGTTGGCCTTCAAAAGATAAGTTCAGGACTTTCTGGGTCCCCCCTCTTATAGGTATGCCACTGCTTTCCAATAAACTTCTTAAGGACTATGTTAGATTTGTCTTATCATTCTAGATACAAACTAAAAATTAGAGCTCATTAACACTTTCCAGTATCTCAAAGAAATTGATCATTGCCAGGCAGTGAATATATTTCATGGAAAGCTGTTTTAAAGTCAAAAGGCATCTACAACAAAAGACAATCTGCCTCGTATTTAAGAACTCAGTGTCTAGCATAAGAAAACCCCTAATAAGCATACAGGCACAAGTGAGCAGTCATATAACACCCAGAGCTGTATGTAGCACATAAATATTCAAAGATCTCAAAATTTGTACTCTACCTGTTAAGACCATATTTGAGATTATCTGGGCAAGTTTCAAGAGGAGAGCTGTTCCTACACTGGACTTGGCAGCTCCTGGACCCCAGGCATCTCTCTGGGCCCCAACTACAATATAGCGATCTTAAAAAAAAAAAAAGGATAAATTTATACAATCAGCTTCTAATTTTTTTCAAAAGAAAGTACCTCAGTAGAAGGGCAAAAGTGTAGTATATATATTAAGGATAAAACAGCCTTACCTCAGAACTGACTTAGTATTCTGGGACTTAAAAATTCATATGACCATATCAATCCTTATTTTTCCCTCATAGTATTGCTAATCTTCTTCTTTTTCCGAGTCAGGGTCTCATTCTATTGCTCAGGCTGAAGTGCAGTGGCATGATCATGACTTACTGGAGCCTCAACCTCCTGGCAGTCCTTCCACCTCAGCCTCCCAAGTAGCTGGCTATCACACCTGGTTAATTTTTTACTTTTTTTTATAGAGATGAGATTTTGCTCTATTGCCCAGGCTGGTCTCAAACTCCTGGGCTCAAGCAATTCTCCCACCTTGGCCTCCTAAAGTGCTCGGATTACAGGCATGAACCATAGTACCTGGCAGTAATCTTCCTCTAATTATCAATTATGTACTTACTGACTACTTATTTGGGCTCACTATTTAATAAGCAACTTAAGTCCAAGGGTTTTTCTGAATAAATGATGATTATTTGATTGCATTTTAAAATAGTCTATTCCAGGGACTGCCAAACGCCCTTTCATCATGTATTACCAATGTCTGTTTTCATGCTACAACAGCAGAGTCGAACAGTTACAAAAGAGACTATTACCTGTAAAGTGTTTATCTGCTCCCTTAAGAAATTTGCTTATTACCGGTCTAGTCACTAACTTAAAAATTTTTCTAGTCTAATGGTCAGTTTTTAATAAGTCAATTTGCTGAGACCCTATGACCTACCAATAAAGCTGACACCTAAATAGTTTACAAAACCAAACCGAAGCCATCATTCCTGTATTCCCTCCTTCTCGTACCACATCTTTAAGAATAGCAAGGAAAATAGAAAGCTAACAAAGGTTTTACCTGGTTCTACAAAGCCTTTAATAACTCCAAAGATGTTAAAAATTTTTATCTCTTTCTGCACATTTTTCACAACAAGCTTCACACTCCTGTTTTGTGCGGATACCAGTTTACATGAAGAGTCTGTTCTCCAACCAAAAGGACAGTCTCCTTCCATATTTCTAGAAGTAGAAAGCAAGCATCAGAGCTGAGTTATTATTACTTAACCAGGATTATAAAATCTGTCCTGTTTTCTGTCAAGTCCTAGGTAAAGAGGACATATAAAATGTACTCCCTAGTGGTCAACCATTTGTGTCTTATTTTGATTTGCAGTCAGTCATTTATTTGAAAATCATGAGTTACTTCCTAGTTTCAACAATGTTTTTTAAAAAAATGTATCCTCATTTGATGTATGCCTTTCTGCCAGAGACACAGCTATACAAAAAAAGAAAATTTACTTATAAAAAATTGTGAGCCGGGCCCGGTGGCTCAGCCTGTAATCCCGCGCCTTTGGGAGGCTGAGGTGAGTGGATTGCCTGAGCCCGCGGGTTCGAGACCCGCCTGGGCAGCGAGACCTCATCTCTACAATAAATCAAAAAATCAGCCGGGCGTGGTAGCGCATGCCTGTAATTCCAGCTACTTGGAAGGCTGAGGCGGAAGGATCGCCGGAGCCCAGCAGGTCGAGGCTGCGGTGGCCGGGAGCGGCCACTGCACTCCAGTCTGGGCGACAGAGTGAGACTCCAACTCAAAAAAAAAATAAATAAATAAAAAAAAAAAAAATTGTGTACTTACTCTTACATATTTAAATTTCAGTCACCTTTAAATTACTCTTCATTTGACACAATACACTTATCAAGACACTTAATCCACTTCTCAAAACAGTTTTTGAACTCATCAATTTTGATGCCTTTTAATACCTCTCCCATTTGTTCCACCTCTTCCACATTAGCAAAACATTTCCCTTTGAGGACTTTTTTTAATCCAGGGAAACAAAAAAAGTCACTTGGGGTGAGATCAGGTGAATAGGGAGGGTAGGGCACGAGAGTCATGCTGTTTTTGGTCAAAAACTGCTGAACACTCAGGACAGAGTGGGCAGGTTGTTTGTATAAATCACCCATCATGAAATGGGCAAACACACTGAAAGAATCTCCAAAAAAAATTAACTGAAGCCAAATGCAGCCTTTCATGACAACGCTAGCCAGTGCATTGATACCCACAGCTTCCCTGAACACCTGTCTAAAGGAGAAGCCTGTACTATAAGGGGCTCACCCTCCAAAATATAATTCTGCGGTTTTTTGGGGTCCCTCCTAGTAGTTTACATTTGAAATACATACCAAAGATGAACTCAGAACGGAGGTCTTGTATATAGAAGTCCGTTAAAATATTTTAATTTATTTATTTTTTGAGTTGGAGTCTCACTCTGTCGCCCAGGCTGGAGTGGAGTGGCACACTGCTCACAGATACCACAGCCTTGACCTCCCGGGTTCAGGTGATTCTTCTGCCTCAGCTTTCCAAGTAGCTGAAACTACAGGTGTACACCACCATGCCTGGTTAATTTTTAAATTTATTGTAAAGACGAGATCTTGCCAAGTTGCCCAGGCTGGTCTCGAACCCATAGGCTCAGGCAATTCTCTCACCTCTGCCTCCCAGAGTGCTTGGATTATAGGCGTGAGCCACTATGCCCAGCCCTTTAATATGTTTCCATGTTTCCCAACCCTCTCCACTAATAAGGGTAACGTACATTCTTATCTCAGATACAAAAACATATTCCTGGTCAGGATGGGCATGGTGGCTCATGCCTGTAATCCCAGCACTTTGGGAGGTCAAGGTGGGAATACAAGACCAGCCCAGGCAGCATAGTGAGACCTCATCTCTACAAAAAAAAATCAGCAAGCTAGCTGGGCACAGCGGTGTGTACCTGTAGCCCTAGCTATTTGGGAGGCTGAGGCAGGAAGATTACTTGAGCCTCGGAGGTCAAGGCTGCAGTGAGTTGTGAATATGCCACTGCACTCTAGCCTGTACTACAGAATGAGACCTTGACTCCAATTAAAAAAAAAAGTTGGCCATTGCCTTACTAGACTCTGGTATGGCCACGTGCTCTTTGAGCCATGGCTGTCACCATGCTTCCTAGCTTTGGCCACTTTCCCTGCCTTGGGGAGGTGAATCTCCTCTTTCTCTCTCTAATTTACTTTTTAAATAAACTATATTTCCTAATCTAAAAAAAAAAAAAGTTAAGATGGGGGGTTAGCCACATAGACTAGGAAAGACTTGCAGGTGGTGGGTAGAATTAGCTGATTCTAAGTTTGGTATGAGTCAATAAGAATCACTTATTACAAATGCCTCTTAACATTATTAACAGTCTCACTGTATTTTACAAACCCCTCACGTACAGATGCTCTTCTGAGATCAACCACTTTATTAAGTAGAATATATTTTAGCCATCCAATTAACTTAAAGAAAAAAAATCAGTGGGGTTAGAGTAACTTGTTCCATGCCACACAGCAAGTGAACACTTTATTTTATTTATTTATTTATTTATTTTTTTGAGTTGGAGTCTCACTCTGACGCCCAGACTGGAGTGCAGTGGCCGCTCCCGGCCACCGCAGCCTCTACCTGCTGGGCTCCGGCGATCCTTCCGCCTCAGCCTTCCGAGTAGCCGGAATTACAGGCATGCGCTACCACACCCGGCTGCTTTTTTGATTTATTATAGAGATGAGGTCTCGCTGCCCAGGCGGGTCTCAAACCCGCGGGCTCAGGCAATCCACTCACCTCAGCCTCCCAAAGGCGCGGGATTACAGGCTGAGCCACCGAGCCCAGCTGCAAGTGAACACTTTAAACCAGATCTCCATTCCATAACAATACCAAGTCGGAAATGTGCCACATCAAGATAAAAATTAATTATATGTACGCTAATCAAACTGAGTTCTATTTTTATTTATTTAGAATCAGGGTATCACTCTGTCACCCAGGCTAAACTGCAGTGGCATGATCACTAAGTATCTGGTGGCTGGCTACGGTGGCTCATAGCTGTAATCCCAGCACTTTGGGAGGCTGAAGTGGGAAGATCACTTGATCCTAGGAGTTCAAGGCTGCACAGTGAGCCATGATTGTACCACTCAGTCAGGCCAGGGCACAGAGTAAGGCCATGATTCAAAAAAAAAAAAGGGCACCTAGAAACTGTGATAACTGAGGATATTCAATCTATATATACAAGGAATGCAAGGTAACTGAATCATTCTGTGTTGCTAAAAAGAAAACAATCCAGAATAAGTGGGTGTTAAAAAGAATAAGATTTTCAGCTCAACATGAATTCTATCAGATTTTCTACAATAACTGAACAGGTTGCTATAGGCAACAAAGTGCTTCACCATAGGAAGTACTCAAGCAAAAACTACGCCAGGAATATTGCACAAGGACTCGAATCCATGGGCTCAGGCTATCCACTCACCTCAGCCTCCCAAAGCGCGGGATTACAGGCTGAGCCACTGAGTCCAGCTATCAAATCATATTATCATTCTTCCTCAATCATAAAACATCACCCTGGGTTCATGACCCGCCTGGGCAACTTGGCGAGACCTCATCTCTACAATAAATCAAAAATTAGCTGGGCGTGGTAGCGCACGCCTGTAGTTCCAGCTACTTGGAAGGCTGAGGCGGAAGGATCGCCAGAGCCCAGCAGGTCGAGGCTGCAGTGGCCGGGAGCGGCCACTGCACTCCCGTCTGGGTGACAGAGTGAGACTCCAACTCAAAAAATAAAAATAAATAAATAAAACATCACCCTGTAAGACAGCTTTCAAATAAAAACTTACTCAAACAGTTTTTCTGCAGCAGCTCTGGAAATTGTTTGGACAGGTATATTAGGCAATCCTGATGATCGAGATGGTGGAAATTGTGTGTGATTGAAAGAAGGGAATCCAGGTGTATAAGGGTCGCCTGTTCCCAGATGAGCCTAGTAAAACAAAAGAGTAATTAACTCCATCATGCACTTCAGATTTAATTAATACAAACAACAGCTCAGGTTTAGGTTAGCAACATGAAGTTTCAAAGTCTGAGTGGCTCTACAATATGTGATTCTTGTTTTCATATGGCATATGTCAAATTCTCAATTCAATGCGCTACTGATAAAGTACATTTAGCAACAAGCAATAATAAGGCCTCAAAGTCAATGCTTACTGCTAAAACTCTTCTAGAAAGAGTATATTATGATGGCATAATTGTATTTCTACTAATGTAGATGAATCCAATAATAATTTCAAGAACTCAAAAACTCACTGACTTAAGAAATAACTCACATGTCCAAAGAAGGAAAGATCTGCATTAACAATGGGAAATTTAGCCTGGTCCATGTATATCAAGACACCAATCGCATTGAAGCTTTCAGCATTTGCAACCTAAAGAAAACGAAGGTCTGATCATACAAAACCAAGAAGAATACATCCTAAACTTTATGTTAAAAGACAAATGATTAATAGAGTACTCCCAAATGTTTCAAATAGCATATACATTTAGAAAAAAGATATTTCCCTGAAAACTAACTCATTTAATTACAGGAAAAAACCATTGTCTTTTCATTTCTTCCAGTCTAGTCCCTGTGTAGCTTTTGCTTTTAATTTTCATTTTTATAAAATATGCTTATAACTGAATTCTGTATATACACAATTGGGTTAAACAGCAATTTGCCTACATATTTCACCTACATATTTCTGATTAGATTATTGGAACTTACTTGATTTGTTGAGCACTTTAATAAATTATAATAAATGTAAGTTTAAAAAATTTAAATAAATTATATTATCAGACATGAGAGTTTAAGACTGCTGGTTTTCAGGATGTAAGAATAGTAAGAAATATCATTTAACTAAAGAATAAGATACCAAGATTCTATATTTAATAACTCATACTTACCTTTTCTGCAAAGGTGATTTTCCCTGCTCTGACAATCACTACAGATCCATTCACAGGAACTTGTAAATCTTCAAAATCTTTTTTAGTGCCAAAATTAGCATGGACCAGTTTACCCTATAATAAATACATTAGACTTAATGAACATTATGATATCAAAGCAGCTCTAAAATCTGAGACAGAAGGATTTTACAAATCAAACCTAACATAGGAAACCAAGAGAGGAACATAAGGAGCCAAGTCCTAAAAAAGACATGAGTTATATAACACACACACACACACACACACACACACACACACACTGCTATGTTGCCCACGTTGGCCTCAAACTCCTAGCCTCAAGCAATCCTCCCTCTTGGCCCTCCCAACGTGCTGGGATTACAGCTGTGAGCCACCGTGCCTGGCCAATATATAGTTTTAAAGTACTAATTTAGAACTTTTAGGTCAGAGTTATTGGCGTAATCAAGATTTCTGGCCTCCTATATTCAAGTCTTTCATTATCCCACACTATTTCTAATCTAAGGGATATTTTACATTGCTTCAGATATTTCTGGGGAAGAAAAGGATTAACAAAGTAGGTTAAACACAGAGCTATAAGTAGGCTAGTCATGGCAGCACCAACTACATAAAGGTTCCACACTCAAACCCTGGACTATGAGGACAACACCGAAATAGGTTTTTTTTGTTTTTGTTTTTTGAGTTGGAGTCTTACTCTGTCGCCCAGACTGGAGTGCAGTGGCCGCTCCCGGCCATCGCAGCCTTGACCTGCTGGGCTCCGGCGATCCTTCTACCTCAGCCTTCCAAGTAGCTGGAATTACAGGCATGCGCTACCACGCCCGGCTGATTTTTTGATTGATGAGGTCTCGCTGCCCAGGCGGGTCTCGAACCTGCGGGCTCAGGCAATCCACTCACCTCAACCTCCCAAAGGCGCGGGATTACAGGCTGAGCCACCGAGCCCAGCTGAAGAAATAGGTTTAAATGTGTCCAAAACTTATTAAACACCATCTGTTACAATAAAGTGACTTGCATAAATCCAACTTTAGGACATTTAGGTGTCATTATGTTCCTAAACTATTACAATTCAGATGAACAGCTATCAACTGACAGTAATAATCAAGCATCTGAATATAGAAAGCTTGCAGTTGAACTAAAACCCTCAGTATACCTTAACAGAATAATCTACCCATCTCCAAACTCCTGGTTTGTAGGTAGCCAGGGAAAGTGACATAACACAAGTAACCAGAAAGGCAATGAATAACTAGAAAACTTCACCCGGCTCCACATATATCACATAAAAACATGGTCGTTAACCTAAAAATTACCTGATCTATCTAGCTATTTTCTATTTCTGTAGTAGTTTGGCTATATTTTCTTAAATTTAAAAAAGATCAAGCATTAAAGAATCAAGCTAAGACTAGATCCCAGCCAAGATGGATATTTATTTAGGTCTGTCCCCACCTAGTGGGAATCTGACATATGCATTCATTTAGCAAATACTTTATATGTCAAGCACTCTTCAAGGCTCTGAGACAAGGCAATTAATAGCACTAACCCATGGCTCTTCATATAGCTTACATTCTAGTGAAAACAAAGGAACAGATGTCAGGTGCTATAGTGTGTCAGTACCACAAAGAAAAATAAAGCTGGATAAGGGAAAAGTGACTAAAGAGAGGATGTTTTTGATAAAAAATCAAGTGAAAGGCAAGTTTTATACAGGCCTTAATGCAGGAATATATGTTGAGTTTGAGTATTTTAAGAACAGCAAGAAGGCCAGAGTGGCCAGAGCAGAGTACAGAGAGCAGCAGGATCATTTAAGGCCTTGTAATCAAGATGAATACTTTGTATTTTGACTGTGGCAAAGGAGAGTTCAGAACCAAAATATTTCATGATCAGTTACATTTTTTTTTTTTTTTTGAGTTGGAGTCTCACTCTGTCGCCCAGGCTGGAGTGCAGTGGCCGCTCCCGGCCACTGCAGCCTCGACCTGCTGGGCTCCAGCGATTCTTTCGCCTCACCCTCCCAAGTAGCCAGAATTACAGGTGCACGCTACCACGCCCAGCTAATTTTTTGATTTATTGTAGAGATGAGGTCTCGCCTGCCCAGGCGGGTCGAACCCGCGGGCTCTGGCAATCCACTCTCCCCAGCCTCCCAAAGGCGCGGGATTACAGGCTGAGCCACCGAGCACGGCGATCAGTTACATTTTGAGCACGGCGATCAGTTACATTTTACAAGTAAATTTATATTGTAACTCCTAAAAACAGTAAAGGTAATGAGTTTTTGAGCTATTCAACAAGGAAATGAATCTCATGCTGTTTTGCCTTACTTACGGTAACTGTTGTAGCCTTACTATATGCCACATAACCCTCAGGATTCTCCACCAGGTATACAAATTCACCGCCTGTACCCACTATGGTCACCGAGTTTTGAGCACTGATAAAAAAGTTAAAATAAAGCAAAGGTCATTTTCGGGGAAAAAATTACATAGTTTACATCTAGCATTTGTTTTACATTATTTGGTTTGAGGAAATTTAGCTCTACATCTTAACCTCGATTTTTACTTCAAAAGTTTTTGCTATATTTAGCCTGCCTGAAAGTAGCTATTCATACAAAAGTAAGTTTACCATCTTTCAACATACCTGCCTTTGACCTGAATCTTAACAAAATGTTCATCACGCCAGACTTTGCTGAGCTTAAATCCACGGAATTGATTTTCAACATACATTGCAAGATTTTCATCTTTTTGAGATCCAGCCTCACGAGGGACATAGGAATTTTCATTCAGCAGCCTGGAGGAAAAAATATATCTGTTAAATGAACTTGAGTTTAATTTATTTTATTTTATTTTTTCAAGACGGGATCTTGCTATGTTTGCCCTCCTGGCCTTAAAAGATCCTCCAGCCTGGGATTATAGGTGTGAACCACCATGCCCAGCTTAAGTTGAATTTTAAAATAAACAATTAACGATCAAGTCAATGGTTTAAAAGGCTTAACATAATATTATCCCTCATAGTTAAGATGAATGAACTGTAACCCAAAACCTCTAGATTGACCAGGGAAGAGACACAGCAGAGAAAAAATTGTGCCTAAAACCTTCACTTATGACTTCAAATTTGTTAAAAACCTCTTAATCCACTGTAAAACACTCCTTCAAGAGCTCCATCCTAATATAATGTATCTGCTTAGAGTAGTTTTAGGGCAAATGAGTAACTCCCAGGAGATCCACTACAGGCAAGATAAAGACAATAATACTGTTGGTGAACAAGATGTATAGCTTCTATTTTCACCTACTTTGAAGCATTTTTGAATCCCTGTGAAGCGATATTCTTCCTTGTTCTGATCTCCCATGGCTCTTTCCAAATATACTCAATTTCTCAGTTCTCTTTTTTTGGTGGACTACATTTAATGCCTGGCATACAGTACACTACAAAAGCATTCACTAAATGAACTAAAACACCAAGATTTCTAATATAAGACTAAAAAAATTATAGTGCCATTAAAACTATAGGAAACTAGCAAAAGAGAAAAGCTTGTTCTTTACACAGAGATGTCTAAGGAAGATATTAAAAACTGAAGGACAGAAACCTTAAGGATACTTTCTGGAGTACAGGTTAATGGGTGAGAGTCCGCAGAAATCAAGGAATACTAGAGACACAGCAAGTCAGGCAGTCAAGTTAATCATGATCTAAATGAGTAAGACTAAAGATGTCCTTGCGGACAGTTAAAGAAAGTCTGACAGCAAGTAATAAGCTATAAAGTACCAGATGGTGAAAACATCAAAGACCTGTGCTTTTTTTTTTTTTTTTTTTTTAAGAAAAGGGGCCCAGAACAGTTCTACTTTTTCTTCTCTACTGGTATCGTTTCAATTCTTCACTGACTCCTTACTCCTTTAGCTAAAAACGGGAAGTCTCCCCTACTCTAAAAAGCCTTTCCTCAAGATCACTGTTCATTCTATTTCATGGTAACTAATATTCAATAAAAATCTGTTTAGATATTGAGGCTAAACTTGTGAAGTAGCTCAAGCTTACTTGATAGTGCTGGTGAACTCTGTGGTATCCAGTTTCTCTGACAGCTTTGTTTTGAGGTCTGCCCAAAATAAGCGAGGTATTTCAGGGAAGTCCTCATTTGGCTCTTCCATCACTGAAGACTCTGTTCCTGCCAGTCTCTCACACTCAGCTTTTGGTTCTACACGTTTACAATAGCCCAAGTAGCCAATCATAAATCCTAAAGATAAAAGTTTCAGAGCTGAACTCAGCATTTCATTTAATCTATCTATCCCTATAAGAACTTAATATTTTCAGTTAAGTCTTGAAAATATTGGTTTTAATTAAATCCTAAGTAATCTGAAAGTAAATAATGTGTCTTGGCTTTGATATTTTAAACCATCAAATCCAATGAACTATATACTAGCTTTATTTCAAAGAGTTACCTGTTCAAAACATACATAACTTTTCCCAAAAGCCCTCCTTGAAACTTCGACTGAGCTTCTATGCTACAAATACCCTGTGTATATGTCTAGTATAACATTTGCACATCACATTGAAATGATTCACGAGACTCTTCTTTTACCAAACTAAATTCAATGGCCATTTAGATTTCAGTCATGATTGTAACCCTAGTGACACTTAGAAAGGTACAAAATAAATATCTGCTGTACTAAAATAAAAGACTTCCCAGAATTGGTTATGAAGAACATTAAGTTTTTAATGGCCATTCTTACCAATCAAGAAAAAGATGATTACAGCAATACTACTATAGCAGATACTTCCATTAAATCTTTTTGGTTTTGTGACATTGGCCCTCATGTTATTGTCAGTATTTTCGTCTTCATCTACAGCTAGTTTCATCTCCACATGACTGTTATCACCATCTACTTGCCGAGCCAGACTAAATCGGGTATACGACAATGGTTCTCCACCAAACTGAGATTTTTTGGGGGAAAAAAAGAGAGAGAGAGAGAGAGAGAAAACATTATGAAAGAATGGGAACAAAACATTTGGTCAAGTAGTATACTTGTTATTGGGCCATTATTATGACTTTTTATATACATTCTTTTTTTTTTTGAGTCAGTCTCACTCTATCGCCCAGGCTGGAGTACAGTGGCATGCTCATGGCTACCACAGTCTCAACTAGCTGGGCTCAGGCGATCCTTCTACCTCAGCCATTCAAGTAGCTGGAACTACAGGAACACGCTACTATGTCCGGCTAATTTTTTGATTTATTGCAGAGATGAGATCTCACCAAGTTGCCCAGGCTGGTCTCAAACCCCTGAGCATAGGCAATCCTCTCGTCTTGGCCTCCCAAAGTGCTGGGATTACAGGCTTGAGCCACTGCGCCCAGCTTATATACTCTTAAGGGGAATTTCAAACCAACATTCCTCCCTGTGCCCAGTTAAGTCATGGTAGATGAAGGCGAGATCATGCTGGCCTTCTCATATCCTTCAGTATTTCTGTTTTATATGTCCCCTAGCAGACATTTTTGATCAGTGCTTTCTTTAGTTCATCTTATCTACTTGGCCCTCCACCACACCCAAATTACCCTGAAACTTCTTATATTTTCTACAATTAACGTTACTTAACACTGAACATACCCCTCCTTTGTGGGGACAGTTATGCCTGAAGACCACCAGTTCAAATGTAAATGAATACCTGATAATAGCTTTGGGTATTATTTCATGCTTACTGAGTAAAAGCCATGTTTGTATACTTTATGTTCCTGCAGACACAGATATACAACTGAAAATACCTTACCAAATTAGACAATGCTGATCTGGCTTGATCCATCATTTTGAGCTGCCACTCAGAAGAACCTAGTTTTAGGATAGAGAATTAATATGAGATAGAGACCACTGTCTCAGATTAGTAAGAACTTTACAATACTAGGCTAGATTGATTATAATACATCAAATTTACTTTTAAATATATTATCAGCTTTCTAGAAAAAGTCTTTTTAATTTTTAAAAAATAGATGGGGGTCTTGCTATGTTGTCCTGGCTGGTCTTGAACTACTGGCCTCAGGTGATCTCCCTGCCTCAAGGTCCAAAAGTGCTGAAATTACAGGAACGAGCCACCATACCCTGCCTATAAAAGGTCTTTAGCCAAAATATTTTTTTACATAACTGAATTTAGTGTGATACTTACTTAGATTATCTCTCCTCTCCCATTTGCTTTCTAAATAAACTATATTTTTCAATCTAAAAAAAAAGTTTATAAGAAGTAAAGCAAATGTGGGAAATTGTTAACAGCTGATGAATCCTGATAAAGGGTACATGGATTGTCAGTGTACAATTATTTTAATTTTTCATTCAGGCTTGAAAATTTTCAAAATTACAGTGTGGGAGACCAGATATGGTGGTTCACACCTATAATTCCAGCACCCTGGGACTTGGGATGCTGGAGCAAGAGGACTGCATGAGCCCAGGAGTTTCAGACCAGGCTACGCAATGTAGCAAGGCCCCATCTCTTTCTCTAATAAAAGGGAAAAAAAAATTTTAGACCCCACAAACTGAAGCAGAATTAAGTCAAGACCAATCATGCTACAAAGATCATAAAGCATCTCCAATAGATAGGAGAAATCCTGATCCTTCTGATTAAATGAGTAGCTCCTACAAATGATTTGACAGATCTTTAACACAAATAAGAACAAAAAAAGAAAAACACAGATTATGCAATATTACACATGAAAAGGCCAATTACATGAGAGGCTAAGTGACTTATCCAAAGTGAAAATTAGTCATCTAGAAATAAAATTCAATGGGTTACTGGATTACAGAAACTGTGTTCTCGGGCAGGCACAGTGGCTCACACCTACAATCCCAGCACTTTGGGAGGTAGAGCCAAGAGGACTGCCTGAGCCCATGGGTTTCAGACCAGCCTGGGCAACTTGGTGAGACCTCATCTTACGATAAACCAAGAAAAATTAGCTGGGCATGGTGGTGCATGCCTGTAGTTCCAGCTACTTGGAAGGCTGAGGCGGGAGGATCACCTGAGCCCATCAGGTGGAGGCTGCGGTGGGTGTGAGCGTGCCACTGTACTCCAGCCTGGCAAACAGAGTGCGACTCCAACTCACAAAAAAAAGAAATTGTGTCTCATCTTTGGAAACTTAAGAAAAAACTTTTGTCAAAGCAAAATATACCTCTATTTTAATCAGCAGAGTCCTATGTTAAGGTAAAGTCTTAACTAAGATCTGGATTTTCTAATTAGTTTAGTTTGAGTGCATCACTATCTATTTTAAGGTTTCTCCTATATACAAGTACACTTATGTCACATTAAACACCCACATGGCACAAAGCAAGCAGTGTGGTATACGTAGATTGCAAAATGAAGGACATTATGTAAACTGGCATTAGAAGTCAACATGCAATGTATCATATTCTTAGGAGCACAATCTCTTGCCCCTTATGGTACAAAAAGCTTATCACTACCATGGCACCAGAAGAGTACTGACCCAATCGCTAGAGCCAGAACTAGAAGGCCACACCCTCAACCAATTTTAATCATCCTTTTCCAGAAAAAAACATCTTACAAGTTTAACATGCATCTGAAACAGCCATTCCTCAAGCTTTTTAGTTTTAAATTAATTTTAAGCAAAGTTACAACACATTTAAATACTCCAAATAAAGGATTTAAATAAATTAGAGGTTAAGTTACTGCAAGTCTGCAGAGATAATATGTAATTATTATGTATAATTAAAATCTAGGTACATTTTTTACTGAGAAAACATGTTATTTCTTTTTTTAAAAAAATATACTTGAGGTTCTTACATCAACAGATGTTATTCCTTTCATATACGAAATATAGAAAAAAATTGTGACCTAGGCAATTTCCACTTTAACCTCATCATTTAAATCTGCCTCCGTGAAGACCACAATACTTACTCCTTAAGTTTTATATATGACAAATTTGAGTCATTCTTTCAAAATGACCTCACAGAGTAAAGAAGTTTTCTATTTAAAAAGAACTCCTTAATGGGTTTTCTTTCAACTGAAATCACTCTAATTTATGTGCTCTAAAAGAAAAGGAAAGAAACTTCATATCAGTCTATCCTATCTATAAACATGCAGTTCTGTTAAAAGATCACATCTGGCTGAGTATGGTGGCTCATGCCTATAATCCCAGCACTTTGGGAGGCTGGATTTGGGAGATGAGAGGATTGCTTGAGATCAGGAGTCTGAAACCAGCCAGGCCAACACAGGTACTGGGCAACCCCATGTCCATCAACAAAAAAACACTACTTCTAAAAGCCAAACAACTCTTATTTGACCTATATCAAGATGCCACCACCAATGCTGAAATTACAGGAGAGAGAAACCAAACATCACCTTGATTTTTATTTATATTAGGTACTTGTGTTCCCAAGGATGACTGAAAATAACAATTCAATGTCTCACATTAATAACGAAAGGTAAGCAAAACAGCCCCATGTGTCTTGAACCACAAAATAGAAGGAGAATCTGAAATGTCTTTGAGATGGAAGTTAAGGGGCAAAGATACTAAACTACAGTCCCAAACTTCTTTAAGATTCAACCAACATATTCCTACTTTCTTGAAATATGGCATTAAATTCCATTCAAGTGCAGTAATTATCTTGAGGACTTAAACTTCCTTGTGATGTATCAAAATCAGAGATCAGTATGCAATACATAAAGCGGAAAGGGGATCAGATACCACAATATTCTTTCATCTATGCATAACATACCCAAAGCTGTCACTCCATTTTCTTAAAATAAGAAGTCATTTACTATTAATGACAAGCTCACTTCAGCTTAGAAAACAGGCCACTGTTTCAAGTCCTTGGAGCTCACATAAAATGAAGTTCCTCTACGTGCTTTTGAGGTTCTGCTCTGGAGACATTCACAACCTAATAATTTCACTGTCTAGCTCTATTTTCTCCAAAATGCGACAGAGCTTAGCACATGCTTTTACCCACTAACATTCTTCTTCTATTCCTTGAGGTCTTCATTTCTTCTAGGCTCACCTCTATAAAGCCATCTAGTCTATGACTGATTTCCCTATCCTATAATACCTGATACTGAATTAACTGGTAATAAGAAGTAAAGATAACTTTACTTAACAGTACTGGGGCATGCTTGATGCATATGAGATTTCAAATGATATGAAAAAATCTAATCTGGAATATTTTCCCATCTCTGCCATTATCCTGGGTTTATCCTGAAATCACCTGGGTAGTAGGGAGAGTTTTCTAAAAGCAGAAAATGTTAAGGTTTCTCTGGTAGGACTCCAAGAATTCAAGTAACTTGGTTGTAGATACTATGCAAACTATTTCCCTAAACAACTATGCATTTTCCAGATGAAAAAGATGATACGAACCCACAACACTTCTGCAAGCTCCTCAGAACTCACATTTGTATATACCCAGAATGACTTGACAAGAAATGGTCAAGATCTTTCCTAGCTTTTAGAGTCTAATCTTATAGGTTCAAAATGAAAGGGCAGCGGGAAGAAATTTTAAAAAACAGAATATCTCTCTCTCTCTCTCTCACACACACACACAAGCAGAACCTTCATTCCCAAACAGCTCTCTGAAATGAGATAGCCCACTTGAAGGTAAGGACTGCTTGAAGTCATTGGAGTCTATACTTATTGTGTTCATCGGGGTGAGCAGACAGAAGGACCTACACAGAAGAGTTCCCAAAGTAGCTTCCACTGCTGCCTGATTCAGGCTTAGCTGGGAACCTTGCTCCTTTATAGATAAGTACATTATCAAAGGCAAATAGCTGCCTCACCTTAGGGAAGTGAGTCAAATTGCTCTTCTCTAGTGAATAATCTTCAGCACAGGCTAGGTTCACGGCCACCATTACTTGACAAGAACATACCATAGAAGAAAAGTTAAAAGGTGCTTTGCTGTATGCATACCCCATAACCCTTTGATACCAATGCCAAAAAAAGAAAAATTGAACTCTGGATTTTCTTGTGAGCTATATTATAATCCAGAGCTGACATAAAAACTAGCAGGGCCCAAGGGCTTTAGAAAGCCTAAACTGAAGTTTCACAGTAGGTAACTCCTGGAAAGTAGCTTAAATGTCTTTGTCAACGAGGTCAAATTCCCCAGCTGCACCAAGTATTCCGAACTCACACGTAAGCTTAGAATAAAGGTATCAGGTAGTCAAATACTTCTGCAAGAGAACAATTATTTCCTAATTAAATCCTACCCCACCTCCCCCGCAGAAAAGTAGCAGCAAACAAGTCCCCTGGATAAGTGACGTACCCAAGGTCACTACAAGCAATGGGCTGAAAGCGTTAACCAAAAAGAGCCAAATCACAATTTTCTTACCCACCCTCACCACTACCACCTTAAAGAACTGTTCAACAGAAACAGTGACACAATGGGCCTCTACGGCGTTTGGCAATACAGCACAACACTTTGACCACACCATCTCATTTCTAAACATCTTTTACACTATAAGTCTTATCCCTACGGGTTCCCATCGTGTAGGGGACTGCTAGCGACAGTCTTAATGTGAACACCTGAGACGTTCGGTCGGATTCTGCCTTGGGGAAAACAGAAGCCGCACACCAGGCCAATAGCCAGAGGCTGGCAAGATCAGGCTGTTCCGCAGCTCTAACGTTCAGTTCACAGAAATTCCGACATGCCCGTGACACGCTCTTGGCCGAATCCGGGACGGCTCTGCCCCTTTCAGCAGTGAGACCAGGGCCCGCCTGGGTCCCGAAGAAAGGAAGCGTTTCCAGCCCTAGGTCATCCGCGAACCCCGCCAGCAGTTCCCTGGGGAGACTTCCTGGAGCGGCCACGTGCTCCCAGCGCCGCAGGCCGGTGCAGCCGCAGCGTGGCTGCTCCATGCGCTCCCGAACTCGCAGCCCAGGGCCGGCCCCGCAGGGCCTGCAGCTCTCAAGGGCGAGCTAGTGAGGAACCAAGATCGGCGGGGGCACGGAGAGCCGGAAGCACAATGGCGGGGAGCAGAGCGACGGTGGGGCTCCCCTCATCGGGCTCTCAGAGCCCTAACAGAGCAGTCTCTCGCCGCTCCGCGACCGAGGCGGGCAGAAAGGCAGCCAAGGGCAGGGACCCGAAGCGCGGGGCCGCCCCTCTCCCCACAGCCGCTCCACCCCGCTGCACCTGCAGCGCGCCCTTCCCGCCGCAGCCCCTGCCCTTCGGGTTCCCGGGCGCCGTTCCATCCCGCCCGCTGCCCCTGCGGCTCTCGGTGGCTGCGACACAGCACTGAGGTGACCGCCCGAGCACACACGAGGAGCACACACGAGGAGCACACACGAGGGTCGGCGCAGCTCTAGCAGCGGCCCGTCACTCACACAGGCGCCTCCTCCGTCCAACACTGCCCAAGCCGCCACCCGCGACCCCGACGCTCTCTGAGGCGGCTGCCGAGCCCCCAACGTCAGTTTATAGCCTGGCCCCGCCTCCTCCCGCCCCCCGGCCTCGCGTCACTTCCTGCCTCACGTACACCTAACGAGGTACTCAAACAAGAGCGCCGGGGGCAAGGGCTGCGCGCGCACCCGGACGCGGCCCGCCGCCTGGAGCGCTTGGGGCGGGGCGGGGTGGGGCCGGAGGGAAAAGGCGCCAAGACAGCAGGTGCTCCGAGGAGCCGCGCGATTGGCGCACTGCCACTCGCCCGGAGCCCTCCTCCGCCCTGGTAGCCAGCAGCCCTCCGCCTAACCTTGACTGCCCTCCAGTCCCTGCAGCGCGAGGTCGACTCCTTGCAGTGCGTTGGCGCCTTAATGTTGGATACTTGCGCTGAAATAGTTCCTTAAGGTCCAGGATGGGATATTAGGTAGCCACTAAGGCCATACTGTGAATATATCGTTTGCAGCTTCAGAAGTACTTAAGGAAAAAGAATTACAAGCAAAATGCAAATTTGTTTTCAGAATGTACACAAGCCACACTTGAACTAAGACTAGCAGGGTGCTTTGCATAAGGGAATAAAAGGGAAAATAGAAACAAATGACTTAATAGGGTGATAGGATTGTAGATTAACTTTCGCATTTATTGCCATTATTGTTGATATACGATGTACAATGCATAACAAATAAAATGTGATTCTTGTCACTTTTTAACTATCCAAACATTCACACTCTCTCCCTCCTTGTGGTCAGTAACCTGCTGGCCAGCGCGGGAGATAAGTTTACAAATAGCCACAAGGCTAGTTAACCACCTAGAATTTAAAAGGATTGCAGATAATGGCTTTCCAGATCAGAGCCTTTAGGGACAAGGAACAACCTTTTAAGATGCAAATCTGTTTCCCCGCCTTGGACTCCAGCTCTTTCCCTATTTTTTTTTTTTTTTTGAGTTGGAGTCTCACTGTCGCTCAGACTGGAGTGCAGTGGCTGCTCCCCGCCACCGCAGCCTCGACCTGCTGGGCTCCGGCGATCCTTCCGCCTCAGCCCTCCAAATAGCTGGAACTACAGACGCGCGCTACTACGCCCGGCTAATTTTGATTTATTGTAGAGATGAAGTCTCGCCAAGTTGCCCAGGCGGGTCTCGAACCCGCGGACTCAGGCAGTCCATTCACCTCAGCCTCCCAAAGGTGCGGGATTACAGGATGAGCCACCGAGCCCGGCTCCTCTATCCTGTCTAAATTAGGGAAGGGATTTGGGATTTTCTCACCCTATTCCCTACATTTTCTCTCCCCAAAGAGAAATGTTTAAAAATCATATAAGCAGGAGCATCGCTGCACCTTGATAGATCTACCCAGGAAAAGGTTAGGAACAGACATGCATTGGCCACAGAGGAGCTGCCTTGAATTTCAAACAATAGGCCTAGTCTCCTCTGCCTTTCTGGACTGGAAGTATGTTTTAAAAAGAAATAAATAGGTCAAGTGCCTTGGCTCATGCCTGTAATTCCAGTACTTTGGGAGACTGAGGTGAGAGGATTGCTTGAGCCCAGGAGTTCAATACCAGCCTAGGCAACATAGCGAGACTCGGTGTCTACCAAAAAAATCCACTATACTCCAGCCTGGAGGAAACAGATTTACGGAGGAAATAGATTTATGAGACAGAGGTCAGGACCATTTATTAAAACATTTTTATATTTATTTATTTTTACACTTATTTTTTTAATTCATGGTCTCACTGTTACCCAGACTGGACTGCAGTGGCACGACCATGGCTTACCACAGCCTCGACCTCCCATGCTCAGGCAATCCTTCTACCTAAGTTCCAAGTAGCTGGGACTACAGGCATGTGCCACCATGACGGGCTAATATTTTTATTTTTATTTTTGTAGAGATGAGGTCTCGCTATGTTGCCCAGTTTGGTCTCAAACTCCCAGGCTCAAGCCATCCTCCCGCCGCAGTCTCCCAAAGTGCTGGAACTACAGGCATGAGCCCCTACATCCGGTTCAAATAAAAAATTGTATATACACCAAAATGAAAAATAAAGATGACACTAAAGAGGCTATCATTATGTTTTTATTTTCATGCTTTCATTTGTAATAATAGCACTGATACTGAATTTCCTTTAATAACCCTAGCAAAGTTTCTAGTAAGAAAGGGTTAGGTTTAGGGTTAATTTCAAGTAAGTGAATAGAAATTCATTTGCTTTGTTAACAGAACCTATATAATATACTGAGAGGCAGTTTTTCTTTACCCTCTACTCCATATAAACGTTCAAATATTTTATTTTTTTATCTGATTTTTGTTATTGTTGTTGCTATTATTACATAGTCTTCCCTCTATGGGGGTTCAGAAACTGATGCCCCAAAATATGGTGCTTTGATATGCTGAACTGAAGAAGCCTCAGGGTCGCCCCGCCACCATCTTTCCCAAAGCAAGACGAAGTTGAAGTTTCTTCATCTGCCTAAGATCCAGACCCACCAAATGGAACAATTGTTTTTTTCAAGAATGTATCCATACCTGACAAGTTAATCTCTGTTTCCTGATCCATGCTTTCTTCCTAGTAATCCCCTTCCAAGTCGAAAGGTTTCAGATCTGACTCCAACCGTGCTGCAAAACTATGGGCATGATTAATGACTCTATGCCTCAGTTTCCCTGTTGATCATGAGGAAATAATATCACTTTATTCCCTTAATTCATTTACCAGTGAATTAAAAGGTAGGAAACTCCTTAAATAACATTGTTATACAAATGTGAAGCGTTATGACTGTAGTTCAGAGCCCAGTCTAAGTGAGTACATTTAGGGTCATGGGGAGAAGACTGAAAACGGAAAAGTACTAAGCCACTAGCGGGTTAGTGCTTAAGCATAAAAAGAAGGGAGAAAAAAAGTTGTCTTCAAGAGCTTTTGAATGTCTCGATTCCAGAAAAAAGCAACTTGGTCTTTAACAATAGCTGAGACAAAAAGGTAGCATCATCATTATTTATTAAGTCCTGGTGTGTGCTGGGCAAAGACATGGAAAGAGATAGGAAACAAATCTATACCCCTGAGAAGGCAAGCGATGTAGCTGAGGAGACAGAATTTATACTTAAAGGACAAATTATAGGGACACAAACTTTAAGTACAAGCAGAAATAAAAGCAAGCCAGAGTCCAAAACAGCCAAATGCCCAGATCTGTAAAGATAGGAAAGACTTTGGTGTGCTTACCACGGCACATCTTGTCCCAAATTATCGCCCTATTCAGATTCAAGTTAATCGTTATACTTACCTGTTTTTAAATGTGAAAGCACAATTGAATGTAAATGTGTTCTCTTCTCTCAGTCACAAGTTAAGAGAGAACCTTCCCTGCTTGACCCATGAGACCGGAACCTAGGAGGAAAAAAGGGCTGGTGGGGAAGGTGAGGAACCTAGGAGGAAAAAAGGGCTGGTGGGGAAGGTGAGGGAGTGGCAAAAAGGCATCGTAAAGCCAAGCCTTCAAGACACTGGTGCGTAGAGAGGGAGAGATTTTTAGTTTTTAGTTTTTAGACAAAGGTATTTAGTATTTTGACTCTGACATTTAAAAATATTAATCTATCATATATATAATAAGTCATATGACATATTATATATGTCAGATTAAGGTATGTATTATATATTAATGTATATATTATATACTTATACAATAAACATATATATTTGTGTATTTATTTTTATATTATATGCATTTTATATAATAAATGTATGTGCACTTATGTATAATATATAATATATATTTATTATATTTTACGCTATTTATATATTATCTATATAAGACAGATTACTGTCATATATATATATATTTAGACAGGGTCTTACTTTGTTGCCCAGGATGGAGTACAGTGGCATGATCACGACTCATCATAGCATCAAACTTTTCCTGGGCTTAAGTGATCTTTCCACCTCAGCCTCTTGTGTAGCTGGGACTACAGGTGTGCACCACCACACCTGGATAATTTTTCTGTTTTTTTTTTGTAGAGATGGGTTCTCACTTTGTTGCCCAGGCTGTTCTCAACTCTTGGTTCAAACAAGCCTCCCACCTCCCAAAGTGCTGGGGCTACGGGTGTGAGCCACCACACCTGACATGTCTATTTTATCACAATTTCTTAAAAATACCATAATATTTCTACTTAGTAATAGAAGATATAAAACCAATTGGCTCTTTCTGGGGTCCTATCTGTGGCCCAAATAGTAGAAGGGTCTTTTTGTTTTTACTGCATTGCATGAATAAACGCTGTTAACTTAAAAAAATCTATAAATTTACAGATTTACAAAGGATAAGGATTACAGTGGCCATCCTGTAGGCTAAGATGCATGCCTCTGGCAAAGACCAGAAATAGGCACTTCCAAGGAGGAGGGATTGGGATAGGAGCTTTATGCTGAATGGTTTAGCTAGATATACATATTTAACAAGTTATAGGAGAAGCTATGAATATTCATGAAGGTGATCCTGACTCAAGCATACTGACCAAACATGCATGGCACATACCAACCATGTTCACTTTGGGGTGGAGACTTTACATTTGATTATATAACAATTAGACACTACACATCACATGAAGGCATGCGAGTGTATAATCTCTGTAAACTGGCCCGAACCAGTCCATGACCGGTGGTCTTGATATCTGGAGAAAGTTACTGAAACCAGTCTCTTTCCAATGAAAGTTGTAGCTATGGCTGGTGGAACAGGGAGATCAATTCTCTTCTAGTTGTGGATGAGCTGCAAAATGTTTTAATATTGCTTACCTCCAGACCAGTGCTTGTTTAGCTGCTAAAGAAAAAGAAAAATCTTGTGGCAGTTAGAATGTAGTTCATTCCTTAGGTGTAGGGTGAATGACTTAACCCGTGGCTGGCATGGCAGGTCATGTTTATAATTGGATGTCTTATTGCCACAAAGAGTCTATTATGGTCTCTATTTTAACGTTAGTGCTGATCAGTTGTTATGCCTAAAGGGTAGGGTAGGGTGTATAACGAGGTGCATCTGACCTGTCCTATCATGGCTGAGAACCAAGTTTCTAAGTTTTTTCTGGGGTTCCCTTGGCCCAGGGACCTGTTCAGTCTACTGGGGGCTTAAGATTTTATTTTTAGCTCACAACTCCCATCTTACTTCACAACTCAGTACACACGTGTATGTATGTTTATGTCTTTATGTGTATATATTTACATAACTAAAAAATTTCATGAAATAATACCTTTGCTGTGTGCAAAGCCCTCTGGAATTTTCTATTCTAATCAATTGTAAAAATGCTAATTTCAACCCATTCAATTAATTTCCCACTGGACTGTAACTATGTTTGAAAAACCACAGTCCTAGGCCACTACTCTTCTCAGAGTACAAGTCTTTTTAGTGAATGGGATAAAGGACTTCCTCAAAGTTAAATTTCAACTCCCAAGACTTCTCCCTGCTCACTGCTTCAACTTTGCTCACTGCTTCAACTTTCTGCTTCTTAGCAAATATTGATTGAGGTTTTATGAGTTGGGAGTCTGAGTTATAAAACAGAGGTGAAGTCTTTTGACATGCTTTCAAGTAGTGATACACACTCTGATCCATGATGGCAGAACTCTCTCTGTCACACGGCAGGTCTTCAAAGCAACCTCTGCAGAAACCACTCTAACCTACACTCAGCTCTGACCACAGCAACTATTGAACAGAATGTATCCATTTTCTTTACCTTGGAATCCTAAGCCTAGGGCAATCACTTTAGGGCCAGAGTCATCAAGTAAAAATGTGGAGCTCTGCCACATTGGAACAGATGCTGTCCAGAGAATGGCTAGTGGACTGTCAACGCATAGATCTGAGGTTGGTACTATTTTCCATTTTATTTTGCATTTCTTACCCCTGGCCCTTAAAAAATGTACTTGGAAACCTTCTGTTTCCTGTCCTTATACTGCTGAGTAAAATATTTTTTGAGTCTCCAGTGCTAAAAGGAAGCTCATACAACGAGAACATAGAACAGAAGCAATATCCAGATTTCTATGGAGGAATTTGCCTCACTTCATAGCAAATAGCAAAAGGGAAAGGATAATAATTAATTTTAAAAATTAATTACAAGGATATTTATGACAACTAGGATAATGGCTCAAGCCAAACATTTGAATAGGCTATGAGGTTTATTTAGTCCCATTTGTGCCAACTAGATAGCTTCACAATAGAATTTCAAGTTTGGAAGGAACTTTAAGCCACGTATGGCCCCTGGTCTGTACAGTAGTACTCAATAATGTATGCTGAACTAATTAGACAAAATTGAGCAGGGCACGGTAGCTCTTTCCTATACTCTCAATACTTTGAGATGCCAAGGCAGGAAGATCACTTGAGACCAGGAGTTCAAGATGAGCCTGCACAACATAATGATACCCTCACCAAAACAAAATTGTTTTTTAAAGATAAACTTGGGGCCAGACAGGTGGCTCACACCTATAATCTCAGCACTTTGAGAGGTCGAGGTAAGAGAATTGTCTGAGCCCACATGTTCGAGACCAATGCAGACAACTCGGCGAGACCTCGTCTCTACAATAAATCAAAAAATTAGCTGGTCATGGTGGTGTATGCCTGTGGTTCCAGCTATTTGGAAGGCTGAGGCAGAAGAATCACCTGAGCCCAGCAGGTTGAGGCTGCAGTGACTATGAGTGTGCCACTGCACTGCAGTCTGGGTGACAGAGTGAGACTCCAACTCAAAAGAAAGAAAGAAAGAGAGAGAGAGAGAGAAAGAGAGAGAGAGGGAGAGAGAGGGAGGGAGGGAGGGAGGAAGGAAGGAAAGAAAATAAAAGAAAAGATAAACTTGGAAGAGAATCTATAAAAAAATAAACAAAATCCTTCTACTTTACCTCACCCAATGGTTGTCTAGTTTTGTTTTGTTTTGTCTTTTTAACCTCTCCAATAAGAGCAAATCTATAATCTTCCCCAAACCTTGCACAATTCTGTTAGAAAGTTTTACCTGTGTTGACCTGAATTCTCTCTCCCTCTCCCTTCTATAAATCCATTATTGCTTGAAGACCGCTCATCTATCCACAGTTGCCTTCTCTTCTTTAGGTTGAATAATCAAATCCTTTCTAAGAGCCATCACAGGACATGGTTCCATGGCTCCCCACTCATTGGTCACTTTGGAAGCATGGTTTGACCAATCCAGAGGAAACAGGGCCATCATTCCTCTGTGGTAGATGCTACTGCCTTTACAAATGCCATCTGTCTGCTACCATACTTAGGACCTGCACATTGTTAACTCATGCTGAATTTTCAGTCGAGTTCAATGGGAATAGATCAATCTTTGGAGCAAAACAAACAAACAAAAAAAAACACCTGGGTTCAAAAATTTAGTTTTGCCATGTACTAGTCAATCACACTAGTATTCCATATTTCTCTCTTTTCCATAGAGAATGATATCCAGATATTGTTCCAGTCTGACATATTGTATGTAGAATATTTGTCCCCATTTATCAGTGAAAGATGGAAAAGAGTCTTATCTATTTGGCTAGAGAAATTCTTGCCTTAGAGCCGAATAATGATAGCTAAGCTATATTGAACATCTGTTAG